AAGTCTTTACTTTCCGGAAAAGTCCAAAAGAGTATCCAAAATTAATGGTCCAAAAGCTGTAAAAACAGCTGTGGTGCAAATTGAGTGCTTGTTTGACGCATTCTATTTTATGGTTTACTACAAAGTAATTTTTAATTACATTCACACAATAAAATATTTGATGCGCATATCAAAAAATTTTCTTTACTTTTTAATTTTCATATTTTCTTAAAAATTACTAATTAATTTATTATTATTATTTTTTTTTTTTTTACAATAATGGTTGTCGAATAGGCTCCGAGTAAAACAAGTTATTTATTTCAAGAAAACAATCTTTTTTTAACAATTGCAGCATAACATGACATAGAAAGCACATAGGCAATACGAATTGTTGGAGGAATAATATTATTTGTAGTCACTTATTATTGTAATCGTCTTCCTATGTAGCATACATGTAATGATTAGTTAGTTGATGAATGAAGCAATAAAAAAATTACTATTTTAATACATTAAATAACAAACCATTTCGTGAAGGTGGTGTATGCATCTATATATATTAGATCCATGTTGAAGGCAAAAAACATCACAAAAACATCAAAGTTTCATATTACTTCCAAAATCAAATATCAAAGTCTGTAAAAGTCATATTCATATTCATTCTTTGTGTTTTTAAAAGTTCTCTAGGATTTGCACTTGTACTTTGGTGCTTAAATCCTTGTAAGGCTTGTTATAATCCTACAAATCAATTGCCAACAACTTTCGAAGCATCTCAAATTCATAGGAGAAGTGACAAATATCATTTAAGGACAACAATATCGTGTTCAAACCATTCGTTGATACAAGTTTGTGATTATCTTGTTATTAGCGTTTCCGGTTTATATTTTGTGATTTCTACTCCAATTCGATGAAATTTCACCAACAAATTCATCCGCAGAGCAGACAAGAATCGAGTTCAATAACATAATAACTTGACAAGAAGAGTGTTAAAGAATTATTGCATAGTGGTTCTTGTTCAGCTTGAAAACCAGGAATAACCCATCGCAAATGTAAAACCAATTGTAGAAAGGCACATCAGACATACCAAACAATGTGCTCAAGGAGGTTGGAAGAGGGTAGCCATAAAGTTCAAGCCAATGTAAAATCCAATTGCCAGTACTACTGTCACCATTATATGCCATAACAAATTCTATAAACAAGTTTTTGAGCTACAAATTAAGCAACAAGAAATCAGAAACACACTTAAAGCAAACATATAGATCCATGCAATGATGCAAACATATGCTTGTTATATAGTGGTTCAACCTCAATATTAGAGCTACATCTTGTCGCTGATGCAGATTTTTTTTCCTATAGAGGAGAATTATAGAAGTGATCTCACACATCTCAGGCAATATGCATCTCACAAAAATAGATCCCTAATAAATCTCCTCTATCCACCAAAAGTAATATACATTTCCCCTTTACCCCCCTATTCTATTGTACAATTCTTATATTATTATACTTAAACTATATATTTTCCTTTTCCTATTTCTTAAGATATGAATATTTTTCATTTAGATGAAACCATTTTAGTTAAAAAAAAGTCCATTATAAATCTTATTATAAAATTTATGCGATTGCTAACTATGATTCTTTTCTTCAAATAAGATTAACAAATAATTAATGAGTCAACATAAACAAATGTTTTAGAATAGTTTAGTAAAGCTATTTGAAAATTTTAATAACATTATAATCTTGTTGAAAAATTTAATAATTTTTTAATAAATATATATTTTTTCAAATACGATTGACAAATAATTAACAAATCGACATATATAAATGTTTTAGAATAATTTAATAAAGTTGGTTGAAAAATTTAAAAACTGTTATTAATATCGCTATAAAATCACGTTTTATGATTTTTTTTTCAGTAATTTAATAAAGCTAGTTGGAAAGTTCAATAACATTATGGCCTTGTTTGACTCACATTCTTTAAAAAAAAATGCATTCTTAAACAGTGATTTGATATCATTTTAACCACACGTTCTTCAATAAAATATTATTACATATAAATCCAAAAATTTTTCTTATTTTTTACCCACACATTTCTCATTAATACACAAAAGTTTGTATTTAGTGTGTGGATACAAATACAGTAATTCTTAATTATTAGGAGTAATTATTAAGGTTTTTAAAATTGATGGATAATTTCTCCCATCATTGATTTCTTTCCTCTTAATTGTTGATCACATTTAAACAATTTTTTTTTTCAATTTATTGTCATTTGTATTTAAATAGTCATATTATCAACTATTAATTAATTAAAAGTGAAATTTATAATTTTTGAATGAAAATATTGACAATGTTATATATAAGGACAAAATGGTAATTGAACATTTCTCATCTATCTCCACATTATATATATATATATATATATATCGTAATTATAATATAATTATATAAGTACATGAATGTTGATTTTAAGTGAAGCTCGTGCGTGTGTGTGCGCGTACATGTACGTGTAAAATAACGTTATATAATATATTAAAGGTGGCATTAATGATAGATTAATTAAAATTTAATTTCATATAGTCTCCTTTCAAGTATATAGTTCATTTTTCATATTGGAGTACTCATAAATTTAGATTAATTAAATTAAGTTTAATCACTTAAAATCAAAACTTGTCTACATATATAATCATATTAAAAATATAATAAATATTATTTTATATGATAATTAATCTACCATTATATTAATGCAACCTTTAATATATTTTATTATATAATTATAATAAAATTGCATCTATACGAGAGCTTCGATTTTAAGTGGTAAACTTAATTTAAATAATGTAATTTAAGTAATTACACTTAATTTGATTAACGTTAAATTTTAAATATTCCAATATAAAACAATAAACATTACACTTAAATGGATATTAAATAAAGTTAAATTGTATTAAATGGTACTATATTAAATATATAAGGGTAAAATTAACATATATCTAAAAATACCAGGGATTTTTATTAAGATCATTAATTCAATTTATTCAACATGATATTGAAAATGGGTGTTGCTTAAGGAACTCAAATGATGGCCCTAAATTCCCATTTTGATATTAAAAAAATTATTTTAATTTGATTAATAGCATTAATTCAAAATGAAATTGAAAAACGGATGTGTAAGGAGCTCAAATAATGGCGTTAAATAACCATTTATAGAAATTAAAAATATTTTTTAATTTAGTTAATAGTATTACACTTAAATGTATATTAAATGAAGTTAAATAATATTTAATGACACTATATTAAATATATACAAGGGTATAATTAACATATAGTTAAATATGTAAGGATAAAATTGATATTCAAAAGTTTCTCTTCAATCCATACTTTAATATATTGTAGATTTATAAAGTATTTATAAATGGTCAAATTTCATTTTTAACTATACATTTTATTGAATTCACAAATACTATTTAATTTTTCATATTTATATCTATTTGTAAATTAAACTGTCTATAAATTATTTCCAAATAATACGTAATGCAATAATGGGTAGAATGGTCATTATTATCATTTCAATTGCCTTCTATTTTTTGCTGCTTGATTTACTGGTTTGGGTTGAATTTCGTAGAATTTGAGCTCCAAACATCACAGTATTCCATCCAGAATTCCTTTAACAGCTTATTTTTTTCTAAATTTTAGAAACTATACTTCAAAAGATAAAAGGTTCTGAACTCCTTTATACTTTTTAAAAAGGTTAGGGACCCCTTCTACAATTTTGCCTTCAATAATATACAAATTGAAGTATGCAAATGTCAAATGAATTTTATAAAATTTTAACTTTAAATGAAAATCTATAGAATTTCATGAGAGATTTTTAACGATTCTATAAAAATCTACAAAAATAAATAGAATTTCATTAAATTCTATGAAACTCATTCAGTTAAAAAATTTATAAAAGTCTTTAATAGTATAAATTGAATATACCCTTCAAAGTGTAACTTTCTTGAAACTTGAAAGTATGCGACTCTGCTGCATTGTTCCTTTGTACTTAAAGGGAAAATTAAGGTTCAGCTCCTTAAACTTTCACGTGATTTGATTGTAAGTTACCAAGCTTGTAAAGTGAGATTTTGGGTCCTCAATTTTTCAAAATCGGTGAATATGAGTCCCCCAACCATATTCACATTCGTGAATCTGAAACATAATGTGACGAATATGTTAATGACGTAGGTCAATTTATCAAATCACTTATTCTACTTTTGAAGTTAATTGAAAGTCACGTTTTATTAATACGATCACGAGATGACTCAAATTTACATATTTGAAGTAGATAGCATATACAAACCTCATTGTCGAAAGTTGAATACTCATAGCCAAACTACTAAAAAGTCAAGAAATCCCCGCCCTAATTTCCCATATTTAAAACTCAATAAAAGCAATGCTCCATCCAGCTCAATTTCGACCTTTTAACGATAGCATGTTTAGAGTTTGTTTGAACATTTTTTTGCTCAAAATACATTTTGAAATAATATTTTGATGGAAAAGGTGTGATTAAAAAGAAAAAGATAAATTTTAAATTTAGGCGTAATATTATTTTATTGAAGAATGTATAATTAAAAATAAGAGAGAATAATGTACTATTTTGAAAATAATGGAGATCATACAAGGACTTGGGTTTAATTTTTTTACTTAATAAATGGCTTTAAATGATTCTGGCCTTAATTCTAATTCCAATAGCCGTTAAAATCACGCAAAGTCACTGCTAACCCTCCGCATTTCCTGTCCTACCGACAATAAATCACATTTTCACGCGCCATCAGAGATAGAAAAACGTGTGGTGTCACAAAAAAGAAACCAAAATATTACACAGATTTACAAAATTAGTCAGTCAGTTGCCATTTAAACACACCCCGTCTCTCTAAATAAATACAGGCTCTTCGCTCCATTTGTGCCATCCTTTGATCTCAACAATTTCCCTCCCTTTTCCAATTACTCAATCAATAAGGTGAGATCTAGATCTTGTTTCTAATTTTTTGATTATATTTGTCATGATATAATTTTGTGATTCATGTTTTCTCATTTGAGTTGAGAATGATTCGTTTGTTTGATTACTAATTAGAATGTTAGATCTCGGCGAAAGTGAGAATTCTTTGATCTTTTTGTCTTCGTATTAAAATGCTTGACGTTTTTAAGAATTTTTATGTTGTGATCTGATAGTTTTTAGTTTTACTAGTTAATATAATTGTTAGATCAGAGATTATGACAACTCTATTAACTGTGCATCGCGTTAGTTTTCTGGAAAATGTTGTTTTACTGAACTTAAAGCTAATCCCGTTGAGACAACGGATCTGTTGATCATTACTTGGATGATTTTGTATTTGATGTCATTTTTTGTGATTTGATATTGAATCAATATTAAAACATCAGAGAAAATTTGCTCGTCTGTTTATCATGTCACCAGATCTGTTGAAAATGCTGATATGCTATATTGTCATAGCCATTTTGAATCTTTTCATTCAATTTTGTCTGCTAAAAGATTTTCATATTTAAGAAATTCAAAATAATTGCTGAAGTTAATTACTGCTTTTAGAGATTGAGTTATCATTTGATTTTTTTGATAAAAAAAAGTCTCATATCTGGTTGATACATGAACAACATTTCTAAGTTGTAAGCCTGCCTTTTCTGAAAGATTAGATTGTCCATTCAATTCTACTTATGTGTTTCTACGGTAATGTGATTGATCATAGGTCATCTAACATTTCTGTTTCTGTTTGAAGTTCTATTTCTTCTGCTCACTTTTAAAAATATATCCCTAGAATTTAAAATCAAACACTATATAAAGATTAAAAATTTCCCTCAAGTTTAAGCATATTTGCTAAGAGCATCTCAAGAGACTCTTTGAAAGTGAGATGCTTTTTATTTTAAAGAGTCAAACCATAAATGAAATTGTCTGGGAAGTAACAGATAACTTCTCTATAGAATTGATAAGTTTACCAAGGACGGGCAACACTAGAATTAGAAAATCCAGGTTTATATTAAAATTTACCAATTTAATTCTTTTAGTATAATGCTTAAAGCTTGTAGCTAAGTTAACTTTAGTTGGAGCCCCTTTTTTTGGGTGGGGAAGGGGGGGAAGGGTGTGGTTAAAGTTTCTGAATTTTATATGAAATGTTTCCTAAAAGTTTTCCCAGAGTTTCTACAGATTTTCCAAAATTTTAAAAATGGGAAACTTTTTGCGAGTTCCAAAATGTTTCTCAAGAGTTTCCGAAATGAAACACTTGCGTCTTAGAAGTTTCAATGCTGAATAACCGAATGACATTTAAGAGACTAACATGCAATTTTAGAACCACAAATGATTCTAACTTCTGCATTACTATGTTTTGGTTGAAAGCAAGACAAATAATGGAAAAAAATGGTTTAAATGGCTAGAAGAAAAAAATAGTAAGGAGAGTACCACCCAAGGGTTCATACTGCTCATGATTTCTATTATTGTTCAGACACTTCTAACGCTCATTTTGAATTACATGAATTCCTTTTTAATCTTAGTAAGTAAATCGATTCAAAAATATATTCACCCTGTCCAGGCATCTTACATGCCTACTATTTTTAAAGAGTTGTGTTCACGTCTTTGTTTGTGTCTGACTCCAAGCCTCTTAAGATAATAGTTCTAGTTTCTCTGCTGCATGATCTTAAGCTAGTGGGTTATAAAATATTTATTTTGTTGTTTGCTTTGCATTTCTCATTAGATTTGTCATGTTTGCCAGTTATGGTCCTGAAATGGCTGTGTTGCAAGATAAGATGATTCATAGAGTTAATAGATGTTAGTGGTTGTCAGATTTTAGGAATTGATGAACATCTACTTTGGAGATTGTCTTTAAAGAATTTCCAGCATGTACCCACTGATATTTGAAGTCCAACAAATATGAGAATTGAGATGTGCTAGATCTCTATTGCAAAAGATCCTTTAGCAGTGTTGCTTGTCCTTTTTAATTTTTCTTTGGCTGGTCAATTTTTTGCATTTAATGGAAAATCTATATCACTTAAATTTCAGATGTTAGTACAGTTCATTTTAAAAGTTTGTGCAGCAAAAATTGAGATCGAAATAAGAATGTTAGTCTAACTGCATTAGTATTCATGGGCTGTGTGCAGATAAAGTTAGGACACAGCTTAATACGCACCCATGGGAACTGTCGTTGATGCTGTAAACAAGGTATTTTTTTTCTAAATCTCATTTCACCATTATTTTTTGTGTTTTTCCAGATTTCAGCTGATAATATGCTTAAGAACTGTAAAAACCCCTCTAAATTTCTGAACAAGCAATATATACATAAAACAATTCCCAATTTTTAGGAGTCCATGCTATAAGAGCTTTATTTTTCCCCACCCTGATTGGTATTATTACCGGGCTATTTTTTATGTATTCTACCTGATCAAGAAATAAGAAATGTGGCCTTTCAAAAGCTGTTTATGGTTCTGAAGTTGATATTCCTTCTGTTTCTCTTATTTTTTTCTTAAGAAAGAAAGAGAGATGTCATTGAATTTTTAAGTTTATAGCTTTGAAGTTATATTTCTAGATAAGGTGGTTAGAGTATCTCTGGTCATCAAGCAAAAATATACATCAAAGCACCGTTATTTATACATTTCCAGTTAACTGAATTTTGGATTTGGCTGAGCTAAAAAAATTGACTTCTCGTCATCTCGTGTTTGATAAAAGCTAGAATTAGTTGGTTAGTTGATCTTTGGATTTGATTTTAATTAATGTCACAAAATAACATAAATGTAGAGAGGTGTTCTTCTAAGTTTGTGCTAAGAAGCATGGATTCAGATATGATACGAGGGGTACACAAATACAGCTTTTAAAAAGAATTAGGATATGCGGTAGACACACACACACACACACATATGTGTATAGTTGTCAATTATTAGAAGTTTTTACTATTGTCAATGTCTAATAATAAATTATAGTTCTCTTCTATTAGTACGGTTTTACATGTACTAAAAGTTCTAATACTATTGTCTATTTTCAATAACAAAACTATAGTAGTTAATTAATTTAAAATTCTAGTTCTCAATTATTTATACTATATATATTTTCAATAATAAGAGTAAATTATGTATTCTATTATTTTAAAACACAAGTACTTTGTTTGAAATTGTTAACTAATAAATATTATCTATTTTCAATAAGTTATTGATAATAACAATAGTCAGTTATTACATAAAAATGTTTGTCATCTATTATTAATAATAATGAGTTTTAGAAGAGCTAAAACCAATAAAACTCTTCTTCTTCAAATGTCCTAACGTGCCCAGTAGTTATCGTAAAAAATAAAAAATAATTAAAAACACATATCCTATATGTATTAGAGCTCGTCCAAGTGTATCCAAACTTGGATATGTATTGGGCAATGTATGAAATAAGTTTTCACGTATCCTTGCTTCTTAGAGTTTGTGCACATTATAACAGCAGTAAAAAAAAAAAAAAAAAAAAAAAAAAAAAAAAAAAGGTAATTTTGGATAGTTATGCTTCTATCCTATTTCTCGAGGAAGATACAAGATGAGTGTCAAAGGATACCTATGGCTTAAATCTACAATTCAGGCCCTATTTGAGCCCCATTTTTGGGGGAAACTAGGGTTTGGAATAGTGATTTTTGGAGAATGTGTAGTTAAAAAATAGAGATGTTTTGGGTTTACGTGTAAAATTATTTTATGAGAGAATGTAGAGTTGAAAACGAGTTTAAGAAAAAATGAGTTTTGGAAAAAAACATAGGCTTAGAGCTCAAATTATTGTAAGAAATAATGCACTGGCATTTGGATTGGGCGTTGAAACACCGGTCTTAATACTTGAGGATATAGGGCTTGTTTGAGGCACATTATTTTCAAAAAAATACATTTTTCAATAGTGATTTGACATCATTTCAACCATACATTCTTTAATAAAATAATATTACACACAAATCTAAATCTTTTTCTTATTTTTTAACCACACATTTCTCATTGATTTGATATGAATAATGCATTTTTTCCCTAGAATATGGCTTAAACATGGGCATAGTATAATAGTAATTTAAGGTTTCTTACGACTAACACTTATTGGGACTTGATTTTGTTCCCAAGGACTTTTAGTAAGACTCCGGACAATGTCTCTAGGCCTAGCAGTTTTCAAAATTATGAAATATTTTGAAATCTGATAGCACAGTTCAAATTAACTGGACTAGCAATAAATTGACTCGAGTAAAATGAAGTATAGACTTTCTTTAAAGTCCAGATCTCATGGTCGTCAATTACAGTATTGTTAGACTTGCATATAACTTAATGGTTGTTTAGTCACTAATTTAGCACTACGAGTTGGTCTTTCCTGCAAAATTTATTTGGATACTTATTTCACCAGCTAGGATTCACTAAGATAAGCAGTGACTTGTATAAATGTGCACGATGGATATGTGTGTGCAGATTTCGAAAACTTATCTTCTTTAGAGTATTAATTTGATGTAGTAACACTGCAGGAAGCAAATGGAAGCGTACCAACTGACAAGAAAGTTACAGTTGTTTTTGTTCTAGGTGAGTGCTCCATTTTCAAATTGTGGTATCTGAATATATGTCACCGTCATTCATGCGTCTGCCTCCCTGGATGTCGATCAAGTTATGATATTCTTTTTTGTCTTTTGGATATGGGTAATAACAATGATCATAATAATAATAATAAAGCAGCATTGGATGTGAAAATTGCCGTGTTGTATTTCTTAAGTCGGTGTTCTATATGCTGTTTCCTTCATATTTTATTTAGATTAATTTCAAACTTTCTGATATTTATGTTAGTTTTTAACCAATAAACTGGAGCAGGTGGCCCTGGCAGTGGTAAGGGAACTCAGTGTGCAAATATTGTAGAACACTTTGGATACACCCATCTCAGTGCTGGTGATCTTCTCCGTGCAGAAATAAAATCTGGTTCTGAAAATGGGTACATCCTCGTTGTACTACAATTCTTTTTTATTAACATGATTTAGCTATTCAAAAAGAAATATGTTACTACTAATTTTTTTCTTCATCCTTGATCAATTCTCTTTATATTCTTTATACGAAATAAGTTCTTGATTATCTTGTTCTCTTGTATTGCGGATCAAGTAATTGTCTTGCTCGATCGAGGTTGATTTTTTGAAATGTGAAGTGCAATAAATCCATGGTCATCTGCGTATTGATTTTGAATCCAAGTAAAATTACAGTAGAACACTAGGATTAATGTATTATTTTTCATATGTCAAGGCTTCATAGAACTTGTCAAGATTCTCCTTTTCAAATATTTTATTAATCTTATTCCTTATTGACCTGTGATATATAGGACAATGATACAGAACATGATTAAGGAGGGAAAAATTGTACCATCAGAGGTGACAATTAAGCTACTCCAACGAGCAATGCTGGAAAATGGAAATGACAAATTTCTTATAGATGGCTTCCCTCGTAATGAGGAGAACCGTGCTAACTTCGAGTCTGTTGTAAGTCTTTCTATTTAACCTCTTCTTCCACCCTCAGTTTCTTTTAAAATCAATTTTAATCTTTTTTTTTGCTTGTTTTCACATGTTTTATGCATTGAATGGAAACATAATTACTTTTTTCCAATTTTTTTAAAGGCTTACAGACTCCTAGCTGCATTGTGGATTCTAGAGAAAGGCATTTAATATATCATATGTATCGTGCACCAATTTCAGGGTTTATTGACTATCTTAATTTTTGCAGACTGGAATTGAGCCAGAATTTGTGCTTTTCTTTGATTGTTCAGAAGAAGAAATGGAGAAACGCCTGTTGAACAGGAACCAGGTAGATGTCTTTCTTTTCTCTCTTGATCTAAAATTTCTGTTCTCTTACCATTTCTCTGCAGTTTTCATGTGATATCTGTCCTCTACATTTTTATTTACTCCGCCTCCTTCGTTTTCCTTTGCATCTTGAAGGGTAGAGAGGACGATAACATTGAGACAATAAGGAAGCGATTTAAGGTTTACATGGAATCCAGTCTTCCTGTGATTGAATATTACAACTCCAAAGGGAAGGTTCGAAAGGTAATAAGATTATTTTTCATCAAGATTCTTCTTTTTAATTCCCACCCTATGGGGATTCTTTTAGGCCTAAAAAGGGTTGCGATGGAAACTGATATTGCTTTTTTGATCTTAGATTGACGCTGCACAGCCCATTGAAAAAGTTTTTGAGGCAGTCAAAGCTGTTTTTATCCCATTAACAGACAAGGTAAAGCTCCGTTACATTACTTCAAGAGACCGTAATAGGGAATACGAAATTGAGAAATGATGTATCAATGCTCGAATTGCCTTAATGACAATGGCAGAATATGATTTGTAGGATAGCAAGAAATCAGTTGTTTTTATTAGTCAGATTATTTTATTCATTTAGGTTATGCTCATAAATTGATCTTTTAAATCTTTTCTTCCAACTACGTATTGATTCATCACTGAGGATTGGAAGGAATAGGTAGATTACGATAAAAAAAAAACCTTCATGGCAATGCATATACTGCTATTATCCAGAGTCTCAGCCTTTTCAGGCTTCCAATGTTTGTCAAGTCAGAATCTAATACAAATTTCCTTCATGGTTCGTCATAGGTTGCTGCTTAAAGATTCAAGCCTTATCCAAACTATCACACCAGATTTGTGTCTAGGTAATGGCTTAGTCCAAACACTTGCATTGGTACTAGAATTACCGCCAATTATATATCGTCGTATAATAAGGATGTTTGCTCACATTCCATAGTTTTTCTTGTGCAGATGGTTTAATATTTTGATCGGAATATCAGGAGTTGATTTACTTTATCAGTTGTTTACATAGAAAATTCACATATTATTTTTGCTTCGATTATTTTGGGAACCGGAAAATTAACTGTTGAGGATGTTGCCTCTGTGTTTATTATATGAGTGACTTCTAATAAAATTAAGTACTTTTATAGTAAATTTCCCTCCCTCATGTGGCTCCTGAGTTTGGATTTGTGCATCGTTACCTTTTTCCAATGATTTTCTACAGGGCTAATCTTAGATTTTGGTTGCGAAATCTGGAAAAGTGCCCGTCTGTTATAATATAGAAAATAAAATAGCAGGTGGGCTGATGGATTAATTTTCTGAAATGAAAAAAAATAATTAAAAAATGGTCCAATTTTTCTTCACATTGGGTTGGAGAAGAGGAGTGTTTTTGTTCACATTATGGGACGCTGTCCGATCACACCACATGCAAACCCTTTGGGCTGGACCTGATCTTATGTGATAGTAATCTTAAAATTCATTACACCCAATGCTTGGAAACCATTTCAAAAAACAGATAGCCTCAGAAAGGGGCAGAAGGAACAAAAATCAGTTTCGTTTATGGATTGAAAATTTTCTTGAATTGGCTCAGACCGGCATTCGTCGATGGTTTGGGTTACCACCGTGGAAAAATTCTAGCAGGATCCTTCAGTAACTGGAATAAATAATAGAATTTTTGGTATAGGAACAATAGCAGAACATTTTGAGCTGAAAGATAAAAAAAAAAATTTCTCTTGCTATTTCGATATGACCTGTAAAATTTGATGCAATTTTCCTTTCATTCATGTAATGAACTTATCAAAACAAGGCCGAATCCAGCACTAGTATGAAAGACGTAGAGTAGCACTTAGAAAAAACAAGAAACACTGCATACTTAATTTGCTTCAATTTTTCGTAGCAGGAGTGTGCATAAAGAAAAGACGAGAATACTGATATCATGCTCACCAAATTACACCTCCACAGAGTCCAATATTGATCCTTGTTAGATGTCTTTGGCCATACCTTCCTTTTCTATCACATAGCTTAAATCTGTTTTGGTCAGTCAAATATCAGAACACAAGAAGACATGCACAGTCTTGATCCTAAATATCGACTCCAGAACACCTAATCTTGATCCTGCTAGCTAAATGTCTTCGGCCATGGCTACATTTTGTACTTTCTTTTTCGACAATCTCAAACAAACAAGGAGATGAAGGGGAATTGTTTAAGAGTAACAGCTCTAAAGAACAAACAAGAACTAGCTAGAAAATACAACCCACACCTGTCCAAATCGGCAAAATTTACATTACATTAAGCTAGCCTAGAGATATATGGAGTGGTAGCGCAAATCCCAAAATTCCAAGTGTAAAATGTCAAACAAATATGATGTCATTCTCCTGGATGGTATCAAGAATGATAGCAAGTCTACCCTCGATCCGTTCATTTTTGTTGGGCTCATATGACATTGCAAACACGTCGGCTTCCTTTGACCGCTCAGCAATCAGCTTTCCTATTACTCGACATGCATTGTTGTCAGTGAGGGATGGTAATGTGTTTCTGAGATCCCTAGAATTTGTTGTAGCCACCGATATCACTTTGCTGGTTGCTCGATGCATAACTTTTGCATGGATAAATCTTTTGGAAAAGAAAATGTTCAATAGAAATGGTCTCATATACATATCTGTCCTTTGTTTCCATGATTTTCTGTTAGGCCTCTTAGCAGCTTCACTACGAGACCTCCGGGTCCAAGCAGCTTCAACAACAAGCCCCTACATGTATAAACAAACACGTACGAATTGAGAAATCACTAATGACTTGATTTTGTTGATCACAATAAGTGTCACCACATACTAATCATCTATCAAAAAGAGGACAGGGACCGGGAAGTGAAGCCAATACGTAATTTTGCAGTCAATTAGTGAAGGTGCTTGGTTTGCAGGCTAGGCATGTGTCTAGGGGGAATATACTATTTAGCTCCAGTGGTGTTAGTCACTCATCTATATTATCCAATGAAGTTGGGATGCGATTTTATTCATTGAACAATGTGACAATGACCCCAGTGCCATATAGACCCGTGCTTAATGCCATTGGGGATAAGTATCGTAACTCATTCGGAGTACCGACGTCGAAGAAGAATACAAAGAGACAAAAGTAGAAGCATGGTAACTCAGTGGTGCGGGTGGAGGTTGGGGGTAGGGGAGGAGGAGAAACAGAAGAATCACTTGTATAGGCTTCACATGAACCTGAACAGCAAACTAACTAATGCCAAGTAGAAGGTTGTACAAATTCCCTCATCTAACATTTTGAAATTCAACAAAATAATAATAACTCCGGATCTTACTTTGTATTCAAATCTTGTGTGTCCTGTTTGTTATTTTCCACATTTGCATGAAGATTGCCTCCATCCTCAAACTATCCATAGTTGAGGATAGAAAATGAAGAAGGATTACAAATTTGCTAAGCTAGAAACACAAGATGAAGATGGCATACATATGCACTTTTATGCAAGTGCAATATCTTCTATCTAAAAGGCTAAAACGTGGGATTTCCATAGAACATCAAAACTAGCAAGTGTCCCAATAACATGAAATTCCTTCATCATTTACAAGCAAGGTAAAGCTGTTATAGAGCTAACAGAGGCATATCTCACGTGATTTCCTCACGAACTTATGGAAAGATATGTTTCATTGCAGTGGCAGAACATCAACAAATTATGTGGGCACTTTTCCAAATTATGAGCAGACTTTATACTTATTAGAAATACAAGATAGCCAATTCGAAATGTCACGAAATCCCCCGGGCGACAAATGGCATTAAATTGCCCTACCCTAAAGGGGTGCCTTCCCCGAGACTTCCTAAGTCATAGTTTCAGCTTAATAGACTCACAGCATCAACATCTGTAATAGAGGGGTATAGCGTTGAAGCTACCTATCGATGGAAGGCAGGAAAGAGCCATCGGAGTTACTTTAACTCGGGAACAACTCGTATTCCTATTCTTCTCTTAACTATAGAAACAAGATTTAACACTACATCATCCATTCCTCAAACAACCAGCTATCTGCAATTTCATCTACATAGCTTCTCATTTATATGGTAAGTTTCATATCGCTGCTGACATTTCATTTTTCAGCAAATGTCATCAACTTGAGACGTCTCTCTGTCATGGAGATTGAAGTTTATGTCGTCAAGACTTCTCTATCATGCGAATTAGAGTCCTAAGACTAAGATTTAAAAGGAGACTGAGAAAAAGGAGATAAACAGGTACTAACTCAAACATGAACAATACGAATCCTATGCCTGCATTAAATCTAGACCTAAGTTCATTAGACATATAAAGACAAGAATGTAGTGACCGGTGTTGGGAAATTAAGGGAGTTTGTCTTAATTCCCAACAATTGGAACAATAGAAAAAGTTTTCCTAGAAAAAAAAAGTTATCACTAGGAGGATCAGAAGTTAAAAAGGAAGGGGAACTGTCAGAATTTGTTTTCAAATCCACATCCATAACTCCCAAGTAGAATGCAGAAAGATGATAGATCCTACATATAAAACTAATTCCCCTACACCAACCCCCACCCCAAAAATAAATAAATAAATAAATAAATAATAATAATAATAATAATAATAATAATAATAATAATTCGGAATTCCACACTTAACACAATAATCTTCTTTTACTTCTGTCCTAATGGACCAATTATGAATTTATAAAACTAGAAAAACCATTAACCTTAAGAACACTTATTGAAGAGAACTAAATGAAATGCTATATGCAATAGCAACTATACCAATCAATATCAATCGTTTTAGGTCGAATGGAAGATTAATGGCGCACACAACTAGAAACAAAAGATTGATAATCACAAGATTAAGATACAATCAGTAGCATAAAATATCCAACTATTAAAATTCAATTTCTTCCCGATTAATTAATTAATATAAAACATAGACCCAATTGTAAAATTAAAAAACCTTCAAAAATTGAAATGATAAATGAATACCTTGTTGAGAGTGATAGTTGAAGTGGCTGGAATTGAAAGCTTGAGGTGTTGAAAGGAGGAAGACCATGATAAAGAAACGGGTTTATCTCCTTTACTTGTTAATAATTCAGATGAGAGGATCAAAGATGAAGGCGTTGCCGCTGAAATGCAGGCAGCCATTATTAGCATAGCAAAAGCTTGAAGATTAAAAAAGGAGATAATGTATCAGACAGAATGGGCTTCCTCTTGTAATTAGTTTTTGGGCCTATAGGCCTGTTAGACATCTGAGCCTACATGAGCCTCAGGCCCCGCTCAATTAACAGACATGCAGATAACTATAAGTGGAAATTACGCCGCACCGTACTTTAAAAATTTAGTATTCTATTGAATGTTTCATTATTGAAAAACCAAAAATTTTATTTTAATCAATATTTTTATAAAATAAATATTTTAACTAAATACATATACTCCAATACACACAGATCACAAACCTTAATTAATTCTCATTCTCCTATCTCTCTCTACATTTATCCATTCTCTCTCTACACCAACCTACACAATCCATCACCTCCGGCAATCACAAGCTCCTTACCTTTCCATCGTCCCAACCCCTCTATCCATTTCACCCCAGAATGAGCAAATCGTTGGAGACTGTATTTGCGAAGCAGATCTACTACCATAGCGCACGACATGGTGTTTTATGTGGTAGTGGTGATGGTGGTGTTGTTGAGGTGGTTGTGGTGGCGGATCTGGCAATGGCTGATTGCGAAGTAGATCTATGACCAAAGTGCATGAAGTGGTGTTTTATGAGGTGGTCGTGGTGACGGTGTTTGTATGATGGCGGTGTTGCGGTGGTGATTGATCTGGCGGTGGTGATGGTACTGTCAATATTCAAAGGTGGATATGTGTGTGTTAGCGGTGATGGATGTTGTTTGTGTGTTGGTTGTGGTGTTGTCGAGAGGTGGTGGTGGAGTGGTTTTGGTGGTGACGATGGCTCTGGTGTTGCTAGTCACAAATTATTTGGTTGATTTTGACCATTAAATTGATTAGTTTGTAACTAATAAACAATACGTAATCAATGAAAAAATAAATTGTGATCAAGAAATAATGTGTGGCCTAAAATTTTTTTAAAATTTGTAACCGATAATTTGATAGTATGTGACTGTCTAATGAGTTGTGACTTATAATATTTGTGATTCGTGATCGATTAATAAATTGTGAAGTATAAATTTTTAATTTGTGATCGACGAACAAATTGTGACCCATAAATTTTTTGAATTGTGATTGTAAAATAATTTGTATCATATAAAAATTCTGATTTGTGATAAAAAAAAAATATTAATATGTAACTGATTAAATCGTTGATTTGTAATCAAATTGTATATATTTGTGACTTTAATATATTTAATTAATAAAATATTTAATTAATTAAATCATAAATAAATTTTAATAAACCCATGATTTTTGAAATTTAAAACATTTATTATTAATTTTGAAATAGGTGATAGTTAACCTCTTAGTTATGATTTTTTCCCCTTTCAAGAGACCATTATCCCCGTTCCCGATTCTGGATAGGGATTTTAGTTCTTTCCCTGCCCGTTTCCCAATGAATTGGGAAATCGAGGAATCATCATCCCATTATCATTCTTAAGAACATTGAAGAGCTACCCTTCAGCATGAGCTTGAGCGTACTTGATTAATAAATCTTAAAGCAAGCGCCGGCACCTATGGGGGTATTGGTGCGAAGCAATACGACTATGCTAAATAATAAATATACAAGAATTACGATTTTTTTTATTTAATTATATTTTAAGAATTTTAATAACTTACAGCTACCAGACAAAGGTCTAGTTTTCTTTAGATTACTGTTCTTCTGTCAATAAGTAGCTTCTCAAATTACGAGTAAAAGCGTGTAAACTCCACAACGTGACTTTAATTTGAAGTCTAACAAAGTGAAATCAAAAGATAGAGATTTGTTGACTTCTAATACAAATATATATTTCCATTGAGATAAGTCTAATCAGCTTCATCATAAGTCAATAAGATTGTGTTTGTTACGACCATAAATTAATTAAATGGAAAAAGAAATTTAATTTTCACATTTGGTTTGATATAAATAAATAGAAAATTTTCTTAGGGTGGACATAGTCTGATTCATTTATAACAATAACCATACTACATCGGAACCAATGATTAATTCACGTAATTCATATATACTGACTTCATAATTGATTTTTTTAAGAGAGTATTAATAAATAATTATAAAACAGAGTCACCGTTTGGTATAGCTTAAAGAGTAGATAAAAATTTAATTTAAAATCCACAGTTAATTTTAACTATACATGGGATTCACAATTTTTAAAATCATATATTTAATTAATTTTTATCAAAAAAATTTAACTACACCAAACATTGCCCTAATTAAAAATTCAGTTTTATAGGTAGAACTCAAATGTGGTTCACAACCATCTGATTTTTTATTCCAAAGACTTTTAATCGAAACCAATTCAGTTTAGTCCGGAGAGCTATGGAGGGAGAAACCACTCAATCTAGTTCGATTAATTTGTTTAAGAAAATTCAAAGAAATGGGACCTTTGACTTTGAATTATTTTTAAATAATAAGCATTCCATTCCAAGAAGTCATTCAATAATAATGAATTCACGACGTGTAGGACCTGCTTTTCCGTGTTTACTCTTATCTTTTTCACATTATACAAACACACCGCGGTGAAAATATATAAACACACACACATATGAAAATATCACCATTTCAATAACAAGAAACCTGCAGAAAGATCCAATTATTTTTCATGGAAAAAATAGGGATTTTTGGAAGCAGTTTGAGTCCAATTTTCTTTATTGTCATCCTCTTCATTTGGTGTCTATATTTGAAAAAATTTCGTCCCCGAAATTGCCTTTCGGCCACCATTTTTGATCCGAATGACAGCAAGATAGAGGGTTATTCATACTGTGCTATATGCCTTAATGACATTCACGGAGGCGAGATGTGCCGGAACCTGCCGGAGTGCAATCACTGCTTCCACGTTGGGTGCATAGATGCATGGTTTAAAAGCCATTCCACTTGCCCACTGTGCAGAAATCAAGTTTCTCAACTTTCTTCTCACCATGAACATCAATGGAGTTTTGTTTCTGAGATTCTTCCATTTCTTGAGGATGTACTCAGAAAAATATGTAATCCTCTTAACGATGAGCTTGCAACAATGTTGTGTGATTCTTAGGTAAATTATGTCATAGTATTATTCATTGATTTTTACATTTTTTTTTTTAATGTTTTCGATCTCACGCTTTATGTATTATATTATATATGGTAAGAATTGAAAAAAAAAAAATGAAAAAAAAAAAAATGAAAAAAAAAAAAATGAAAAAAAAAAAAATGAAAAAAAAAAAAATGAAAAAAAAAAAAATGAAAAAAGAATAAAAATACAGGTATATGTTATCCTCTATGAGTCAATTATATTGATCTTATGAGAATTGATGAAAAATAAATTCAATTGAAGGAGCGTGTAGAAGACAAGTTTTCGAATTGCTGCATTTAACAATAGCAGGTCTAACGACATAGGAAATGGGAAATGTAGCACAAACTATTTGAAACAAGTTGATCAATACTTTGTAAAGTGGTAACTAGGTAGACATTAAGATATATGTTTAACTATGTCGAAAACATTAAAGGTCGAAACCCATGTTTAAGGCTGGCTTGCCAAATCTTGTCGATGTCGAACAAGGTTTCCCCGCACTCGTTCATGTTCCATCCTTCCAAGGCATGTACAATCCCAGCTATTCGCCAAGCGCTCATAACTTTTCTCGGCAACCAATTCTGTATATGAAAGTGATCCACAAGAATCAAGTCAGGGGATTAATGGTGCGAAAATAAGTAGTTTGCACAATAATCATATGAAGTTTGTAAGGGGATTAAACAAATTTTGCTTGCAATAGATGATAGTTTAAGAAATAAGAGAGATGGATTGTTATTTGAAGAGAAATAGAGATGGAACATTGAAGTGGCTGACCTCACAAGAATGCAAATTCTCGAGCGATGGTGGAGCCACCATAGCCGGAGTATATTGGTAGACGGCGTCATTACGAGCTTTCTTTGGAGGAAACTTCGAGAAAGGGATGAACGATGTTCCTTTTGGTGCCCTCATTTGTTCTTCTTCTGTCAGTTCATCTCCAACTAGCCATATCTACCATCATATTTCAACAGGTACATATATTAAACAAAGCATTAACCAAAGCATAAATTGAGGAAGAAATGTTTACCTTCTGAGAATAGATTTTTGATAGTACCATTTTACTCTGAGACTTTGCAGCTAGTTTAAGCTCCTCATACTCATTTTCATACAATGTACTCACCTGAAATAAACTCTCACTTGCTAGGGATTATGAGAAATTAAGAAAAAAACAATCAAGTCATGTTTGGTACGTTAGATTGGACAGAAAAACATCTTGTAATAATAATAATTCGTTTGTCCTATGTAATCTTGCTGAGTTCATGTATCAAACGCGTTATGAATGGATGTTTTGAATTCAAATTCACTATTCGGATCAAAGAAAATTGCTTTTTTTTAGAAAAAAAAAACTTACCTGGATACCCTTTTGGCACAAAGCACCGACAATGGAGTAAGCAACCTTGGACAGCTTGCCTCTGAAGACCACCTCAGTTGTTCCTTCCGGAATGCTATTAAGGACAATAGCAACAACCAAACTACTTCCATCTACCACCTTAATATTGAGGTGAGGGTGCTTTTCTATGTAAATTGCTCCGTTTCTATTAAGTTCCTTGGCCTGCAAATATTAGGTATTACACATAGTTCTTGAATTTTCTAGCAAAACGAAACGTCTCTCTTCATCGTGTACACGAAAAGAGAAAAACAAAAGAATGTTGTTTTGGTGCAAGCTTCTTATGATTGAGGAAAATGCTTGCAAAAACTTGCCTGGTTGAGAAGACCTAAACTTAACACCTTGACGCCTCGTGCTTCTGCTTCGAGTATGGCTTCTTCAATCAATCCATTAATAGCTTGTTTTTGCCATTTAACAAGATACTATAAAACCATGTAATTTACAAGTCATATAACCATATTCTCTCAAATTACCACTTAAAAACGACGTTGTTATCGGATGGAAAATTGGAAATTCTTGCCTGCACATTGTGTCTTGGAATTGCCCACGACTGTAATCTGAGTTTCTCGAAGGAATTTCTCTCT